ATCAGACAAAGATAACCCGAGTAAACAAAAACAAAGATTTTAAATGATTGCTTATCTTATTAAAGGAAAAAAAGCTATCCAAACCTACCTGATGCTGTTTGAAAAAGTAATTGCCCCCATTGTAAAATCTTGAATTAACTATGATTAATGAATTATGTTCACCAGCCCCACCCAGGCCTGATTACAACAGACCTTTGAATCAATTAAGAAGCACAAACAGAACCTGACTAAGCTAAAAGATATAAAAAAAAACATGATCAAAAGAAACAGCTGAGAAAAAAAGTCATTGACTCTGGAAAGGGTTACAAAACCATTTCCCAGGCTTTGGGAGTCCAGTGAACCACAATGAGAGCCATTATCATCCGAGACCAACACAACTTTTCCAGAAGGCCAAAAAAGAACCCAAGACCTGCAGGCCTCACGTGTCTCAGTTAAAGTCAGTGTTCATGATTCAACACTAAGAAAGAGACTGGGCAAAAATGGCATCCATGGCAAAAATGACCAAAAAGAACACAAGGACTCGTCTCACATTTGCCAAAAAACATGTTAATGATCCCCAAGACCTTTGGGAAAATATTCTGTGGACTGGCGAGACAAAAGTTGAACTTTCTGGAAGGTTTATGTCACGATACATCAGGCATAAAACTAGCACAGCAATTCAGAAAAAGAACATCATGACCAATGGTGGGTTAATGGTCTGGGGCTATTTGCTGCTTTATGAACTGAGTAACTTGCTGTAATTGATGGAATCAAAAAAAATTCTCTTCAGCAGAAATTTTTAAATGTTCATCAATTTGTGCTCTGAAGCTCGAGAACGCTTGAGTTGGGCAGCAGGACGATGACCCAAAACACAACAGCAAGTCCACCTCTGAATGTCTCAAAAGAAAAAAGGAAGGTTTTGAAGTGTCCTAGTCAAAGTCTGGACTCAAATCCAATTGAGACTATTCATGAATGAAAACCTTTCAAGGTGGCTGAATTAAAACAATTCTACAAAGAAGAGTGGACCAAAATTCCTCCACAGCGATGTGAAAGACTCATTGTATCAAGAGGCCAAACACTTTTTCACAGCACTATACTTTGCTGCTATGCAAGACAAATGGATAAATGAACAATGCAGTCAAATTTCAACAAGTTCAATACTGTCTTATTTAGGGATCGGCTAATATCACTAGTTTGTGAACTTAAAAATGCAAATGATCAGAATCTGTGTCTTTCTGGTGACTGAGGTACATCGATGACATTTAAAGCTACACAAAATAGACATGCTAGCATTGTTTTGTTTTTTTAACAAGCCTTTCTGCAAATTAGCAGCATTTTCTAATACAAAATACTGCTGAAGTATGCTGTCTTTACATCATTTACATATTTGAACCTGGTATGCACAGAAGACCCAGACATAAAAAAAAGGATGCCCCTTCCCAGGAAACAATGATCGGCTGATTTTAATTGCTTTGAAATTCCAGCTGCATACATTGTGTGGCTAATTAAGCTGTACAATCAAGTCGCATTAATGAAAGCACTCCTCCGCTCACACGGATTCCTGCAGAGCACTTTTAAACAGGAATGCTGTTAAATGCTTTTCTCTCTATGCTTCTGACAGTTGCAGTTCCCTGAGACCAGCTTTGTACTTTAACAGGGAGTAAAATAATGTTTTCTGCAGAGGTTTTCTGTCTGAACACTAAGCCTGGTCATACTTTTGACTGATTCTACAAATCGTGGGACAATTTCAGACACTTGTTTTCGCATTAATAAGCAAATGTTTTAAGTCACCAGGCTTTCGCTAAGCTCACCTTGACAATGAATTGCTTCGATGTTCTCTCATCAGGGACATAGGTGATACAGTACAGGACAAAGCCCAGGATGGAAACTAAACACAGCTGAAACATAACAGAAAAAAAGGGTTTAGCATTATTTGGATAGACTCAGTCATCAAGGCATTAAAAACATCTACATGATTTGTGACAACATGATTTTTAAGCGCCACAAAGATCCATTTCATCCATATATATAGCATATATGAATGACTTGTAAATCATACATTTACATACAGTTTAGACCATGAATAAGAAAAAGAAATACTTTCCCCCAGGTTTTCAGAGGTGTTTCCTGGTATTACATGATTCAGCAGTAAGCTGCCATCTGATTACTTTACTCTGTCTTTCCCTTTCACTCCCCTCCTCTCTCTTTCTTGCACACAAACACACTCACACTCTATCTCTGTGTCTTCAGTGCAATTGGAGTCTTGTGACTAACGTGAGGCATCTTATTTAAATGTTTTTCTCAGGTTCTTAAGCACTCAGGATTCTCTGGAAAGTTCTTGATGACCTCAATGTTTTTCACTTGGCTGAATCTCGTGAGGATCTAACTCGGGATGTTGATGTCCAGGGATGTTTTCGAAGGCAGATGGCATCTGTGATAGGCTGGGGTAGAGCCCAGACACAAAAAACACGTTTTTTTAAACATATATCACTGAAAGGTGACCTGAAGTCTTAGCCCAAACTATAATAATAAGTAAATTTGCCTTCCCCCCTTTTTTATTACACATTTCACAAGGAAAGATGAACACTTTGTGCCTCATTGGTTATACAAGTTAAAGTGCGTGCATTTGTAACACTTCAACTTACAGTTTATCCACTTTTTACGTGTTACTCTTAACAAAGTTCACCTTTGTGAGCTGAAACCTCAAAGCTTTACAGTTTAACTGATGCTCCCAGTCAGTTACACTTCAACATTAACAAACTTTCAGTGCTTTCGTGACCTTTTTGTTAATTTCTCTTGAAATTCCACTTCTCGTCTTAACCTAAATGAAACACGCAACTTATCTTTCATTTGTTGTTTGCATCGTAAAAGTTTACTTTTGTGTGAAACTATATGTGATGTGTGCGTGTATATGTGGGGGAGACCGGATGGCAAGGATGCAGAGGTACTCAAAAAGATGTACATCATATTTGCAAATAATAATGAGGTCTTCTGACACTGTGTGGGTGTTCGTGGGTTAGTTTGGAATGCGGCATGCTGTTATTGGATGACTCATCTCATCTGTCCAGATGTTTAAGATTTCTTGGACATGCAGTGTGAACAACAGAAGGTGCAAGCTGATGCATGTGACTGAGAAATAATGGAAATGCAGGTGTATGCATTCAGGTGAATATGACAGATGGAGATTTGTTACCACATGACAATATTAGTGATTTCCCATGGCTACGGTGCCTGTCTGGCAGAGACAGCCTGGTGGGGGCCGGTGTTGACATACAGTGTGCTAAAGATGTACAACACAGGTGTGTTGCTGAGGCTCATGCAGAAGTATCAGAAACCGGAAGTTCCATGCAAACAAATGAGTGTAGCGGATGATGATAGAGCGTAAAGTATGCAGCTTACAATGATCCCAGCCCAGTGTGGAGTCTCCCTGGCCAAAAGTGAGGGACTGATAGCCAACATAAGGAAGGCCACGGCTGTGACAGCCACCCCCAACAGCAGCTGGAGCAAAGCGATGAGCAGAGGGAAACGACAGACTCTGCACTTATGGCCATCTTCTGGTGTTGGGCTCTCTTCTCTCTTCTTCTTGCCCTCCTTCTTGTCTGAGGAATCTTTCTGTGTCTGTCTCATTTCTCTTTCTGCCTTCACTTTCTTTTCCTGTGTCTCTACACGACTTTTACTCTTTGGGGTGTATGAGCCCGCCTGCGGTCTCCCTCCCTTCCCTTCCCCTCCCTGCCCTCTCTCACCATAAACACAGCTATGGCTGCTATTTGGAATCAGAGAAGGCTCTGAACTAATATGGAAAACATTTGGACTGGAATCCTAACGCGGCTCCAGTGCCACATATAGAGCAGGCAGCATACTGAGGAGGGAAGGAAGAGGAGGGATGGGAGGCAGGAAGACACAAAGGGGGATTCCAACTTACGACAATAAGATGATTTATCGTGTACTCACATTAAAAACAAAAAAGGGAAAGTACAGAGAGGGATCAGCAGGTATGAGTTAATGAACAGCCAGCACAGAGGAGGTGACACTTCATTAAAGAGCCAAGTGACTGTTTCATTCTTTGTCAGCAGTTACACAAGACAACCATATGCCGCCAGCCAGAACGTGTCACATGACTTACAGGAACGAGTAATGTGATCACAAGGCATGTGAGGGCATTACAGTGGCGCAGATTTTAGTGTTTTTGGATCATTTTAACGTTCGCAAGGGAGGAGCAGGTGTCAGTAACAGATGAACTTTATGTGGTTAAACTATAAATATGCAGTAACACATTTATATATAAAAGGTTTTTATTTCTTTTTATCCTCACGCTTCACGTGTTTATCGCGGTCAATACAGAGAACTAACGGGCTTACGAGAAACCGAGGTGTTTGAAGGGGACTGTGATCACTCATCATTTTCAGCACGTCGGACTAACAAGTCACAAAACTTTATCCCGAGACTAATAAAAGAACTGCGACGCACGTGTTTCAGCACACAGCTGGGCCGGTGCCATGGTTACTGACAACGCAGCTTTGGGGAATTGATGTACAACTAAGGTTGTCCTGTCGCACAACAACGTACATAGAGGGTGCAGGGTGCATGAAAACGCATGAGCGCACACATTTTGTGGACTTTAAAAAGCTCACACCCCCATGTTTACGCTCCGTGTTTACGCCACAATAACCTGTCTGCTGTTCAGGCTCGGTCACGTTACGTGACCGGTTCTTGTTTTTATCTCGCGGAGGCTTCTTTCCCGAAGTGCGACTATTCGTGATCAGTTTAGAAGTCTGTGTCTCGCTCCGGCAGCTCAGCGCTTGCACAGCAAACACGAGCTGTGAAGTTTTGTAGCCCATAAAACTAGATGCAAAACCGCTGCATCTGAGGATCATTATTCTACCTCGCTCCACGCGCCTGCGTCTGCTCCTTTGCATTTTGCGCACGAATCACGTTTCAGCAGCCTGGTCAAAATGGCCTGGACTTAGTCGCCATAGAAGCAGCGTCGATAGCTGCAATATTACAGACAAGGTCTAATTACCGGACTTTGTGCTGGTGCAGCCTACACGTGAGTCGGAAGCTGTTCCCAACCGGAGGCGCGCGTGCGCTCTAACCACAGAGCCGACGGCTTTGCAAAGTGGCAGCTCAGGGAACTATAGACATCAGTCTGACGCGCAGCTCCACTGGAGGACACGCACTGTGCATTATCTGCCTCAGCCGTCCACGCGTGGGTCGTTGGAATAACAAACATTCCCAAAAGAAGCTCAGAAGAAGCAAAGAACCAGCAGAGGAGAGATGGATGAACGAATACCGCATTTACAGGACAGACAGTTCATGGAGCACGCGGATTTCTTGGGGTGAGTATCGCTTTTGGCAAACTCTGTCAAAGTATGCCTAATAAACTGTCATGATGACCTGGTGAATAATCTGACACTTTCCCCGTGTCCGTAGGGTGGATTACCCCTCACTCTACATGTGTAAATCCAAAAGAGGAATAAAGCGAGAGGATGGTGGGAAGGTGCGCGCGTTGTTTTTTAAAAAAAAAAAATTATTATTCTAATATGTAGCTTGTTTTCACAGTTGTTCCTTAAAAATACCACAAATGATATGAAACACACTGTAACTAGTGTTATAGTGTTACTAGCGTGTTCCTGTTCTGATTAATTAAACACTCGTATTTTGTCAGCAGGACGCATACAAGTTACCACACCGGTTGATAGAGAAGAAGCGGAGAGACAGAATCAACGAATGTATAGGGCAGCTGAAGGATTTGTTACCCGAACATCTCAAGCTGTCGGTGAGATCACGAAATCATGAAAAGTTTTATACGTGCTCAGGACATGGCTTTACATGACAGAGACCTCGTAAACAGCCAAACACAACCTCTGATTTTCTCCACAGACGCTCGGGCACTTGGAGAAGGCAGTCGTCCTGGAGTTAACGCTGAAACACTTAAACGCGCTGACTGCTGTCACTGAGCAGCAGCACCAGAAGATTATTGCTTTGCAGAATGGTAAGATGAACGAACTCAATCCTCATATACATAAAGTTTTGTAAAGAAACTGCACTTCTTGACAATAATTAAATGGATATGGGTTTTTATCATTTAACTGACCGGATTTGGGGAAACTTTATTAATCTCCGTTTTTAAAATAGCAGAACGAGCAGAATTGAAGAAAGAGGAGCTAGAGTAGACTCAGCTTGGATGCTTTATTGTGTATTTCAAGATTCTTCCTATTAATACCGCATCTGTTCACTTTGCCTGAGTCGCTAGCCTCGTCTCGTCACTAGTTATGATGAGCATCTTACAGAATAATGATCTGTTACTCTTCAAACTCCTTGCTTCGCAGGAGACCGGTCGATGAAATCTTCCATTCACGCTGATCTGGATGCGTTCCACTCCGGATTCCAGGCCTGTGCCAAAGAGGTCCTGCAATACCTGAGTCAGTTTGAGAACTGGACAGCACGGGAGCAGAGGTGCGCGCAGCTGATCAACCACCTTCACAAGGTGCTGGCGCAGTTCCAGCCCGGCGCGCAGCCACTACAACACCAGCTGCCCGCCGGGGACGCACAGGATGGTCAGAAATCTGACAGCCAAGCCAACTGTGTCCCCGTCATCCAGAGGACCCAGGGTGGAGAGCTCAACGAGAATGACACAGACACGGACAGTGGATACGGGGGCGAGGCAGAAAAGAGCGATGGCAAAGATAAAGAATGTGAGCGCAATAAGGCGCAGGGACCAAAGGCAGTGAAAATCAAGCAAGAGTTCGGAGATGAGCGGGCTGCCAAAAAACCAAAGATGAGCTGGCCTGTGAACGGGGCAGGGGGCGCAGACCTCACCAGGCCCGACGTGGCGTTTATGAACTCTCTGATGGGAATAAGCAGTGTGGGACAGCAGACACCGATTTGCATGCCTTTCTACTTCATTAACCCCTCAGCCGCTGCTTCTTACATGCCTTTTTTCGACAAGAACAACATTGAAAAGTACATGTACCCTGCGGCGGCCGCCCTTGCTTCCCCTTTCCCTTGGCTATATCCCGCTCACGCCTCAGCGGCGGCGGCGGCGGCCGCTGCTGCCGCGTTCCCCGGCCTGTCTGCGCACTTTGGAGCCGCTTCTCAGTCCAAGGACTCACCCTCTCTAGACACCGACGGGTCACTCGAGGCTGACGAGGGCTCACCTGAGGAGCGCGAGGAGAGTCCCGCTAGTGACGACGGAGAGGGTGACGTAGGCGACACGTCCCACGAGAGCAAGAGTAGCTCACACGACCAGTTTTCTGGGTGTCAGAGGAGCTAATTAGTCCGTGTTACCTCTCTGCGCATTCTCGAGGAGTTTATGTATCTTCATTTTTTTTAAATAATTAGGCTAGTTTTAAACGGGGTTTCACAGGAGAGTTGCTCGTGTACAATATCTTGGCGAAAGAGAGGACAGTTGTGACGGCGCGTGCCTTTTGCACTTATGCTAGATTAAACAATCTGAATGATTATCGACAATGATTGACACTACACGGCCGTGTTGTGCTGGAGTTAGTTTTTTTATCCTCTTTGATAAACTATTTTGACATGGCAGCATTGGTGCCAAAACTTTGAGTACTGCAGCAGTGCGCAATATTCCAGTCAATGAGTCTCTTTGGATGTATGAAGTTGCAACTGACCTCTGCCAAGATTATTAATAACTTGGCTGACTCTGACTGTAAATATTATTACCTGAAAGATTCATTACCATGTAAATGTGTACTAAATGGGGCCTATAAAATGGGTGGTCCTGGAAGTGCATCTATCCCCAACTTTGCATGGGTAAGCTGGGAGGCACATTACTGTACCTCCTGAGAACTGAAACGCATCCCCCTTTCAGAACATACACAGACAGCATCTCCATCATACACAACACATATAAAAGTCTCATGTTTTAATAAAACATTTGTAATACATTCACGGGAGAGGTGTTATGCATAAATTCCTTCATTTCACTCCCACTAAAGTTACTCTGGTTTCCGTTGCTTTCTGTATCCTTGTGGCAAAAAAAGAAATAAAAAGAAGAAAGAAACAGATGTAATAAAACCATTAATGGAGAGACAAAGCCTTCATTCATAAGGATTTGCTTGACCAGCATATTGTACATCCCCTGACTGAAGCATTTCTGCACAGAGATGCAGTGACCTTCTGTACCTCCAGGAAACATTGTAGGATAGCACCTTAAAGATCTTTGATATTGAATGTACCTGTATTTTCCCAGCTGTTAAAGTTTGTATGTAGAATGGCATTGCTCTTTGAGTTACTCTTTTAAGTGCACTTTTTCTGCTTTTACCCACTCCACCCTGAAAAGTCATCTCATCATTAAAGTAAATCATTATAGTTCTCTTTGAACCTTTCTATTGTGTGGTCTTGAAATTTAAAAAAAAAGATTTTGTTCCATCAATGAAAAGAGATATTGGATATTTTGTGATGATTCCATGCAGTAAAGTGGGAGTTAACCAAGTTGCCAGATTTTACAAAAAACTGATTTCTAGCTCTTTCAGGGGTTAAAATCACAATCAAGTTTGAAAACCCTGAACCCAACTACACATCAGGTCATCATCTGGGATACTGTGCTATCATCATGTAAAACCATAGTTTTTTTTTTTGTTTTTTTTTTAAATGGTCTAAAACTGGGAAAGAAAGTCTGGTCATTTTAAGAACTTTATCCTGGCCTCTTTTTTATAAATAATTCCCACTAAGTATAGTGCTGTTCTGCTTTTTCAGATTTCTCATTGTATTTCGCCTACATGACATTGCTTTTGTAGTTTTCCTCAGCTGGGTTTTTGCCTCAGATCTGTTATCAGCTGTTCTATAAAGTGGCATGTGTGTTTGTAAATAGGTTTTTGTGAATATATCAAGAAGTATACATGTCTTTGTCAATGTTGTAGAAGTCTATGGATTTTTTTTAAAGACTTAACTGAGCAACTGTTGCACATTTCGTTAATGCTTTACACATATGCTGTTCTAAATTATTGCTGATGAGTTGTAAAATAAATATCAAAATCTGAACATTGCAGATTACTTATTATTCTACACCAGTTTTTCATGTCTTCACAGTCTTACGTGCAATAAAATCCAGCTTCGGTCATTGTCTATTAATAAGCAACAAGTACATACACGTGTAACATAGGTCACGAGAAACAATACAAAATATTGGACAGCATTAGTATAATGGGATTAATGAATAATAAAAAATATTAGAAGTTCAATGGGTGGAATGTAATGCTACACATCAGCTGACAGGTCACAGCAGAGGAATGTACAGTAAGCCAAGGCTTTAAACAAAAGTCATGTGATAAAAGGGGTGATGAAGTGAGATTATAGTCTGTCTGTACAGGCTGAAGAAAAACAGGGGGCCCTCATTCCAACCTGTCAAAAGCTTTAAACAAGGTTAAAACCAGTCTTTGTTGTTGCCGTTAATTGGCTTGTCGCAATATCATTTTAATATTAACATGGCATTCCAGTTTCTCACCTTTTTTTTTTGAAGCAATCTTGGTAACGGTATAAACAAGTTCATTATACATGTTCCATCATTGTTGATGGAATAAGACCCACACTACAAATCCAACAACAACAAAATTCAAAAAAAGTCATTATTATGGTACAAAAAAGAAAAACCCTTGAAAGTTTAGATTGTTTTTGGTGAAACTTCATTTCACCAAAAACATACTTTTTCTAAACAGCTCATTTTCATATTCTAACATTATTCTTTTTCCTCACTGCATTCTTTTGCATGTAAACATACCCAACTCCTGAGCATTTCCCACCATGTTTGCCTCAATTACAAAGTAAATGTCTCCCCCTACTGGTGAAAAGCGGAAACACTATACAACGTAGTACAGAATCTTTTTCATTTACACCCATGGGCTGTTTTTAACACTTACATCAAGCACCAGCGACACATTTAATTTTGTCAGATGGTTTATTGAACCATGCAATCCATGTCATATCAGCAACCTGTTACAGCCATACATCTGTCAACACTTTGCAGTATATTAAGGCAGAGAAGAAGAAGAAAAAACAACAACAAAAAACAGGTTATGTACAGTCGACATCTTACGCTTTTCTAGAAGATATGCAGCTGTAAACAACGACCATAACTATGAGACAGTACTGATCCAACCTACAGTATAAATGTGCTGCATGACAAGTAATAAATCTAAACTAATGTTTACTTCATTTTACAGCACTACTGTTATGGTGACAATAATACACCAAGGGGAAAAAAAAAGCATGAAAACTAATGTACTTTCCTTCCACAGGGACACAAAAAAAACAAAACAAACAAAAAAACAACAACTATAGAAAAAAAATACTATATACTCTTTGCTGCTGTGCCGTTTTAGCTTCTCTCACTAATATCTACTCACATTTGGTCTAAACTGACTCATTCCTTAAATGGCCCCACTAAAGATTTACTGTACATTATTTGAATACACCCACTGTGGAATTGATATAAGGCACTTTGATGTAATTAGCAGCTGGACTACAACCCAAGGAGTTCACACGTTTGTGTTCGCGTGCACACACACACGCGTGCACACACACACGCACGCACGCACGCGCACGCACGCGCGCACACACACACACACACACACACACTTTACTACTTAATAAGGGCTTCATACCTTGGCTATTTTGATGCGCATAGTTACAAACAAACTCTAATAGACACACTAGCTTAGCTGGAACTATCCACCCTATTACTACATGCCTCCATTTTCAGATATAACTAACAGATTAAATGGAGTGTGGTTGCTGTGCACATTCATATATGGACAACATAATCATGCATCAAGACCTGCCTATCTTTGGCCACATGATAATCAAGAAAAACAAGCATAACACATTTGGCAAAAATATAGTGTGAGGACACAAAATGAAGAAAAAAAACAAACAAAAATCAGTGTAAAAGGATTAATAACACCATTTCAGTGTGCAGATATTACTGCAGGAATGAGGAACAGCATTGGTATGACGGTAAATGCACCGCTTGGTAATAAAATATACTAATCCACTAAATAAAGATGAAAAGTAAGAAAACATATTTACAATAAGCCATCATTTTGGTGCATACAGAATGCAACATTCTACAGTAAGGAAAGCATTTGTGCATAGTTTTAATTTGAACAAAGATCGCAGGAATAGATTCTGATATGCAAAATGATGGATTGTTCACAATTTTACTCTAAGTAGATCCTTCACTTATTTAAGAATCAGCTGATTTTAAAGACACAAGGTTCATAGGTTCACATACCCAAAATTCCAAAGGCAATAGTTTTGATTCACCATGCTATGCAGAAAACAATAAACATCATTCAGCAGGTACTGAAGTGAGAGTACATCAGGTGGATATGTTTATAACAAAAAGCCAGATGTTTACATGGTAATTTATTGGTTCTGTTATCATTTTTTTTTCATGCCATAGCTGCTAACCATCTCTCATTCCTACCAAGTGCTCCATGCCTTTTAGTCAAAGATTACATCTTCAAAGTAAAGGTTGCCTTAATTGAGAAAAAAAAACAAAAACAGTGCATAGTAGTGTGCTACGGAGGCATTCTGTACTAAAATATCAACTTACAAAACTGTTCTGGGGTGAAACTGGCTGTTGGCACGGGGGCAAGATGTGTTGCTTCCACAGCAGAACCGTCTCACACATAGATCCCTTCTGGGTTCAGACCAGAGCTGAGAGGACTGTGAAGGGCCCGGAGATGATTGGGCATTGGGTGGGTTGACACAGGGCGCTTTAACGAGCCAGACAGGGGCACTAAATCTAACAACAAATATAAAAACATCACCAAAATGAGAAACAATAATTATCAAGAGCATTTCAAAATTTTAATAATAAAAGCATTGGACTGTGGCAAGCGGCATCAAAGACTAACATTTAGCTTTTTTTTTTTAAATTGAAAACTTGATTTATGATCAACTAATGCCCCAAAGCTTATGAATAAATGCAAATTTTAATGGTGAGATTTCCAAATGACAACCATTAGTTAAAAACATACACATGCTGATGATGTAATGCAGTGTAATTTTGCTAAACGGGCACCAGGGGGCAGGATTGGGCCATGCAAAGAATCAGCCAGTGCAGTTAATTTTAATGGCCAGGAACTAAACCTTTGTTGATTTACACTCTGCACTGAAAGAAGATCATCATCAACCCTCCATTATTACTTTTCATAATGAGAAACTATTACCATGAAGTGCATCTAAGAGATCCAATGGTGTAAACAGTTCAATTCAATTAGCACAAATCCAATGTGGCATACATTATTACACCATCAGTATAACCAAACTATATAACCAGCTTCACTATATGCACAGTAAATGGAATTCATTCAGATGAATGACTTCATTTAAATAAAGCGATTCAATATTCAGTATTAATAAACGCAAATCCAGGTTTTTATTTACTTAAAAATAAATGCTCAGTTTTTAAGGAGGTGTGAATGTGGAGTACCAAAATCATTCCTATGCATGAGAATAAAGGCTTAATTATTATCATATTTATGCCTTTGCATTTATACATTTGGTTCTGAGGTTGTTTTTTTAATGTTTTTACAAAGGCTGAATTGCAAAACTTAAGAGTTATATCCAACTGTGGGTTGGTATCGTAAAGTTTTTAACAACTAGCTGGATGATGGTTCATTTCCTTTGTTGCATTACTTTCTCACTGAGTGCTCTTAATTTATGTGTCAGCTGTCTGACGGTTTCTTGTAGGATGAGATAGCTTTGGTCCAATGACCCACCACAGAAACTTCTGAAGATGTGAAGGAGTCAAGAATAAATAAACGTAGCAAACAACTGATACTAGGTCTCCCTTTATCCAGACTGATGTGAAGATTAAAACTGCCACTGAAGGGGGTAATAAACTAGGTCTGAGCCCTTTACCTACCACAGTTTTCAGCAGGATAATCTCTCTCTCTTTCTCTCACGCAAACATACACTTAAGCTTTTATCCTACATAATAAAGAACTCTCACTCTTGCTCCCTATGAACATACATGGGCATACTGAGCTCCCTAGCAACCTTGCCTTGAGCCTTTGCCTTCCCAGTTTAACGAGTCAGTTGATGGGACAAGGTGAGGGAGAGCCATCGAGATACTTTTTTCTACCTACCAGTAATCTAATTTGAATCCCTAAAACCAAGTCTCGGCCCTCAGCAGTTAGTCTCTACCTGCTGGTCCAAGGTGAATACAATCCCTACAGTTTACAATGAGATTAAGCTCAAAGAAAACAAACACTTAAACACACAGCAGAGTCATTTTCACTCAGCATGCTGTTAAGACACGAGGCAGCAGAATAATGAGCACCTTGATGGAACAGACTGACTGTATTAATGCACAGGCAAACTCAATCTCAGCTTTCTTACTTCATTAAAAGAAAAAAAAAAAGATCACATGTTAAGCATGTGAAAAACCACCAAAGGCACGCTGCAATTTGACATACCATTAGTTCAAAGAAACCACTGTTACAGACTCCACACTTTGGCTAAAAAAAAAGCATCCATATTGCAATACGGAGTTGTAGTTACATATTTTACTCCAAAGAAAACTTCCCAGAAGACCCGAAACAGCTACTTATTCAATGTTTGGAAGAAAATTTCAATACCTATACCGGGGCTGTTGTGGGTACTTCCTTCCTCAGCAGGTTCAGCTGGCAGTACAGTGACCTTGGTGCCAGTCTGCTTGATGAACTGCTGCAGGTTAACCTGCCTCAGCTCCTTGGTCAGCTGCTCCAGGTCATGCTGCATGTCCTTCAATAAAAAAAACACAGCAGTGGGAGAAATTATTTTTCAGAAGACTGCAAAGCATTACCAGCAGCTTCAGACAGCTTCTTTTTCCATGAAAAGTTCAGACAAATGCTCAAAATGTTTGACTAATTAAAAAAAAAAAAAAAAAAACAACAACAAAAAAACCATCACATAGAACAACAGCACTTGTTTGTTATCTGTGGTTTGTTATCAGTGTTTCCTATTGATTCTAAATTGAGTGAGTAATACTCAGC